AGAAGGTAGAAAATTAACTGCACTCACAGGGGAACTCCAATAGTAGTTGATTGGTTATATTAGAAGTTGTTTTATATCCTTTCTAAATTTAAGATGTAAAAACTATATGCCCATAATAAATGTAATGAACAAATAGAGTCCATATGAGCATTTAAGAGTCTAATCTAATTAATGTGCTGTGTAGTGATTGTTTACAGGTGTTAATATGCAGGGAACAAATAATAAAGAAATTTGTATCGGTCATGAAAATGTTTTCAAAGGCAATAGGATTTAATTGAGTCTCATGGATAGAAGAATAGAGAATCACACAATTCCAAACTTGTGGAACAACTGAGAAAAGTTGAAGAATTTTGATTTGGCTGGAATGGTTGGGTATGGGCCATGGTACCAGAACAGGCCAGGCCAGATCACTGAACATATCAGCTGAATTGATAGTTGGGTCCCCAGGGGATGGTATGAGGGCAGAGTATAAGTTCTAGGAGGCTCATATACAAAGGACAGGAAGGGGAGGTTAACCAAAGATAGTGGAGAGGGCTGATATTGCAACAAGATCTAGACTCCAAATGGAAGCCATGATCTAGAACTGAGAAGCTGATCAGAAGAAGATCTAGTCAGAACCCTGTCAAGATGGACCTGATCACAGCTGCAAGTATTGGTATCATTGTCTCACCTACGTTGGGCTCGTAGTACATGCAAGTTAAGAAGGTTCGTTTGCACAGAGTTAGGCATACATATCACAACTACTGGAAATCCTCCCAAACTGAGCCTCAAAGTCCACAGAAAGGCTTTGACATCAACCCACATCCCTTGGGTTTGTGTAATTTCAAAAGCAGCCTTCCAAATCTGTTCTGCATTTTTCTGCCTGCCACTTGTATCTCAAACATTTTCCTACTTGGCAGCACTACCTTGGCTCCCTCCACACAGACTGTTGAGGAGGCTGGAATGTGTGTGAAGGAGTAGAAGGAGATGCAGACAGATGAAAGACTAGTGAGCCATTCCTGGCTTCTGTAAAAGCGCTCCTAGCTTTCTGCCATGTTTATACAAGATTCCACTGAGCGCTAATCTTGGATCATCTATCATAAGATTGGAACATTTTAAATACTTAAAGTTTTATTAAGAGATCAAATATCAGAGTTTTGATTGTATTTAGAGTATTTGCTTTGAGAGTGAATACCATGGAGAAGGCAAGACATGGGTAGAGCTAGCCTTGAGGATGTGCAAAAAACAGAGGACAATGAACCTACTCTGCAAAAGAAGAGTTGTCAAAGAGGGCCTGTGGGTGTGCATGCTCCTGCTTCATTTTAGAATGGAGTCTCTAGTTCTCAGCTATGGATTCTTCCTTAGGGACTGTCACTGATTATTCAAGGGCTGTGGGCTCTGTTTTTCTTACCTTAGAACACTCAGAACTCAGTCACCATGGTATTTTGGCCATCACAAACTCATATTTCCAGTTAGACATTCCAGGATCACATGCAACTAAATAGGATTAAGATGATCCTTAATCTATTCTCCCAAAATTTTCTTCCCTATCTAATGTCTTCAGCACTTTTTCAGTGCCACAATTTAGCTTTCAACTGTCTCTTATGTGATAGTGGAAATGGTCAAAATTTTATCAGCTTGGAGACACACAGGCTGTATATTCACTTGCTATATAATCTGGATCATTGCTTCACCTCTGTGCATCTTACTTTTCTTTTCCATAAAATAGGGTACTTCTGAGAGTTGTTGTGGAGATTAATTAAATACATGAAATGTAAATAGCATAAGGCCAGAAGGTACTCAACATTGTTACCTCCTTTCTGTACTTTTTTCTACTGCTTGTCCTTCTTTTTCGTTCTCTTTGTTTCCTAATATTCATTTGTTTATTGTGTCTGAAATAGTAAAAATTGCTCTCAATAATTAAATTAGGGAAGGTGAAAACTAGAAATTAACAACATCCATTTCTTTCATTTTTAAGGGAATTACAAAGAAAGAGAAAGCATCAGTCTTGGAAGATTCGCTCATATTTTGGGCACTCTCTTCCTCTCTCTGATTCCTTAGGACCTCATTTGGCAGTGCTGAGTAAAATTATTCTGTGATATGTGGAGAGGACAGACCCAGAGAGGTAATCAGCAACTTTTTACTGCTAGTAGAATAGAACTCCCACCCCAGTAGTAATTTTTCTTCCACTGGTACTAAATGATTTAACACACACACACACAAAAAAAAAAAAAAATAAATTCATTAAAAGAGCACAGGTTGGGTTAGGATTTAGCTCAGTTAGTAGAGTGCTTGCTTCACATGTACAAGGCCCTGGGTTTAACACCCAGGACCACACACACAAAAAAAAATACAGGTTTCATTACAATGGAAAGACATTAGCATAAAGTAAGGTATTAATGCTAATAAGAAAATAATATTACCTATCTACTTTAAATATACTACTTGGGAAATATAAAATGGCAAAAACATGGTGAGCAGTCACATGAATTTGTAGATACTAATTGAACCATAAAATAAGACTTGGTACCTTATATATGACATGAAGAGACAGAGTTTCAATACATAATTCTTCCTTGATCCTCTTGTTAAAACATTTTGCTTTTGCTTTTTTAATTTTAAAAAATTTGGCTTATTCTCATTGTCTTTCTTTTAATCAGGGAATAAAATTCCTTTTTTCTCTAATTTAAATTCAGTTTGTGTCAATCTATGAAATATTATTTCATCTGTTTACATGTCAAAGTATACATATTTATGATCTTGATGTTTTCAGAACAAGAAAATATCAGAAACACCCTAGGACTTTGACATATTCATTATTATGCAAACAAAGTGTTTCTCAGGAAGAATCATTCTATTTATTTTTTATGTTGCATTCAACTCAATTAAAAATTTTGTATTGGTGCATAATAATTATACAGAATAGGATATTTTATTGTGGTATATTCATACATACACATCAAATAATTTGATTACTTTTTAAATGCAGCCAAGAAAGCAATGAATTGCAAGATTGTCATTGAGACTAGCCAATCTTTTTTTAAGTGTATTCACAACTATAAAATGACTACATATTATTTCCTGCCTTTTACTCTCCTTTGCTTAGCTTCCTGAAACATGTCCAAAGTCCCCAAATTCCATGTCCTTCTCTTCCTTCACTGTCCACCCTTCTTCCATTCTCTCCTACCTAGTGAAAAGGCAATAACTGGCAATTTTCTGGCTTGAATGAAAGGTTTATGACAAGGATGCCCTCAGTGTTGGTCTACCAAACCAGAAGTATATTCACGAAGTGGCTGACAATAGAAGCACCTTGATCAGATGGCAGGCAGTGCTGACTCTGTGAACTTAGCTAATGGACTTTCCAGGCATCTAATATTGCAATATTGTACTAAACCTTTCTACTATTCATGTCCATGATTTTGCCCTACCACTCACTAGTTCCCTCTCACCTTTCTAAAAGGGATGCTGGGGAACAAACAAACAAACAAAAAACCTTGATCAAATCCTAAGAAAGAATGGAAAGTGCACAGTATGATCCAGTGAGATCTACCTTTCTTTTTCTAATATGATGCCAACCTGAAAACTAACACTTGCCTCCTCTTATGTAAATCAGAAAAGGTTCACAATTGCCATGACAGTGTAAGTTTTAGTATCAGGATATCAAAAATTCCAGCCAGGAAAGGTGTTAAAGCTACGCTACCAGAGAGCCACAGTAACAAGAATTGAGGTCCTAATCAAAGTCATGCTACATTTTTAATTGAGAATTTCTCATTATTATGCCATGTTTCAGTTGAGTCAGCCAAATGAAAAAACAACCTGGCCATATACTTCTTTATTAAAGAAGTTTATTCTTCCACCCAGGCTCAGAATTTGATAACAGGTTTTCCATGGACTTTTTCCTCTTTACATCAAACAATTGTAAAGAGGAAAAATGGGGTGAGGGCATTCTAATTTATCCCACATGGATACTTGGATATGACCAAATTGAATTACTAGCAGTTTCCTTAAACATACACTCTGATTCTCAGCCTGCATACACTGTGGACATAGTCCATCCTGCAAAGCCCTCCCCAACCTTCATTACACACACACACACACACACACACACACATTTTCTTCTGTGCCTGGCTTGGTAATCATCATCCCAGTCAGAAATAATATTGCTCACCTAGCATTGTGTTTGTCTTTTAAAATCACCTCTCACATGTGGCCTTGTCTTATAAGCTTTTGCATAACATCTCTGTCCATCTACAATACAGTAGGTTGGCAATAGTCATATTTGCAAGTATTTTGCACACTGTGTAGTGATTCTTAGCAGTGTTGTAAATGTGATAGGTATTCCTCATTATATTTTGCTTCTGGGTGATTAAAAATTGGGTAAATAGAAAAAGTAAAGGAGAATGTATGGATTTTTAATAAATAATCTTTGCATAGTTTGCTTTTATGAGTCTTATCTGTAAGAGTCCTTCAGGTCCCATCCTTGGAGGGCAGGAATCTTGCATATTTATTCCTTAAAGCCGGAGTAGAAAGCTTGTTTTTCATTGAAAAATCTTTATTTCCTTGCAATGAAGGTTGGTAGTTTATACTCAGTTATGTGTGCTTACCTGAAGTTGTTTCTTACTTAAGACATTTATCACTTCTACCTTTTTTTTTTTTTTTTTACCGCCTGCAACAGCCTTATTTATATAAAGCCAAGAAACTTTCTCTTAACTTTTGTAGCCTGAAAGGTTTCCTATGCCCAAAGCCTGTTGGCTTCTGTTTTTTTTTTTTTTTTTTTCCTCTTTTCTTTTAACTCTTTTAGTGCGTGCTGGGCTTGGGTGCTTCGTCAGCTCTGAGGCATGTCAAATACTTGTACTCTCTTTTCGCACTGCGTGGGGGATCCAAGCTGCTTGAACTGCCTGCCTCTCTGCGGGGCTTGAGGCTGACTGCGAACGTTCCCAGTTTTCTCTGATTGGATCCTGGAAGTCACGTGAGGGCCCGCGGATTGGAATTCTGAGTTGTGGCTTTTGGCACTCCTTTTTCTTTTTAAAAATCGCTTGGTCTGTTGAGCTCTCCTGGGCTTGGTGCCTTTAGACCGAGGCTGGGGACAGTTGCAAACAGCCACAGGCAGACTGAGGTGGCAATAGAAAATCTGCCGAGATGTTCAGTCAGGTGCCCAGGACCCCAGCTTCAGGCTGCTACTATCTAAATTCCATGACACCTGAGGGCCAGGAGATGTACTTGCGATTTGATCAGACTACAAGACGCTCTCCTTACAGGATGAGCCGGATTCTAGCACGCCATCAGCTAGTGACTAAAATTCAACAAGGTGAGTTGCCGGCAGTGAAAGGCTGTTGCTAATTCTGATTTCTGTTGGCTCTGTTTCACGCTAACCCAGTTTTTTGAGTTATTGTTTTCACTTTACAATGTATGGATTTCTATGCCATGCTGCACTTAACTTTCAAAAATAACTTTATGCTGCAGTTTTAAGCAAACTGTGACAGCTCTTAGCTGCCACATAACTCAATATAAAGTGCATAAAAAAACTTCACGGTGGGACAGTGAATCACAAATTCCAAAACGTACGTGTGTCTACAGAACAAACGAGAAAGGTTTACTCAGTGTTTGTTTTTGGAGCTTTCTGCGGGTTCCTCACACTGGCCACATTTAAAACGTGGACACTTGTTTATTTAATTAAGGGAGAAGACAGGGGACTAAATGTCCACCCTGCCCAGAGTTCTTAGAACATCTTCAGTTAAGAGGGGAAAGTAAGAAATCTATTCTTAAAGCCACTGGGCTGACAACTAGAATCATATTCTCTTCCTGTTTGTATGTTTATGTCTGGAGTTGCCACTGATCTTTTGATATTGTTTTTCTGGTAAAGGATAAATGTGTTTGTTCACTTCAAAACAAATCCTGTGACCTGCACACAGAAGCATTAGCTTCTCCAGGCAAAGAGGAGAGAATATTGATTACAAGCTGCTAGATTTTTTTTATATTTTTAAATTCTTGGGGGGAGAAAACAACCTTGAAGCTTGGGCATTTCTAAAACTTAATATTCCCCCCAATAAAGCAAACCATACTCCTTATAGGATAGAAAGTTAAGCCTCTAACTGGTGCCGATTTAAAACACAAATGCACAATCAGTTAATAACTACCCCCTCCTGGACTAATAAAACTAATTATTCTTTTGGTACTGTATGATTTTATCAGGACTTTCTAGAGCCATTATAAAATTACTGTTTCCATTTCAATAAATGAACATAAGTTTATATTGAATTTTAGAGGGGAAGTTGAAATTTGTAATTGCAAAAATCTTATTGTAATATTTCCAGGAGGAACAATATGTATTCTAGTGAGCAACATTTGATGAGATTGTTTCCTTGGAAATTGGGATTTGTTTGTAAAGGTTCAGGAACTGGTTATGTGTGAAGGATACTGGTCCTACATACCGGTCTGATTTCAGGAAGGATATTATGTCATTCCATAAACTCTGTGTGCAGGTCTTGATTGAATAGAAACAAAAGTATTTCCCTGTGGTTTGATTTAAAAATACATTAGGCTTAGAATAAAAAACAGCTCCATTTTAGCTTTGGAAGTGTCTTACAATGGTGCTTTTCCAGATGCTATCATCTTTATGGACAAATGGTTTAATAAATGTTTGATGGTAAACTATAATCTATAATCTATAAATGTTCCTCAGCATGCATATGAAGAGCATATTATCTTAGAAATATCACATAGAATTCAGTGAAATTTCTTTGAAGTCCATCTTAGATGTATTCACAATAATTGATTTCATTAAGAAATTATTTATGTTCTTTTTGGCTGAGGGTTGTTTTTCCATTAAACATTTGAAGATCTGAACACTTTCATTATCACTGAAAATGCACTCTCACACAGACATGGGCACTCTATGTTTCATTTTTTCTAACTAGAAAATTTAAACATCCCCACCTTTTTATACTGAGCGATGGAATTTTTGAAGCCAATGAATACCTAAAAATTTAAAGGGATCGTCAAGATCATAGGGAAGCATGAAAGAATGCCAACAATTTGGTGACTCAGAAATCATCATTTGTTAATATCATATTGTGGTTTAGTAAGACAGAAAGCAAAAGCAAACAGACATTATTGAGTTTACTATATAATATATTGTAAATGTAAGACTGGTTTTCTGTCATAATAAAGAATATTTGAATATTCACAATTTACCAGGCGCTGCTATGAGAGCTTTCTATAAATTTTAATTTATTTTTTTTCCCCGAACATTCCTTATAATTAAATTCTATTATACCCATTTTAGAAGTGATAAAGCCAGAGATATATGGAGTTCAATTAACTTGTCCAAGGTCACATTGTAAGAGCTGGTATTTGAATACAGGTCTAACGCCTATGATCTGCCGTACATTCGACAGTTTTTCAGTTTTTATAATGAATGCTAAACAACCTATGTTTGAATTTTGGATCATATAATATATCAAAGGCCATTTAGGCTTTTTACTCAGGAGACAACAATGAATCATATTACAGAACCAAAATTGGTCATTTATTATGAAGTTTCCAGGTTGGTTTTATTTCTCTAGTGGGAACAAAGAACTATGTAATCTCTTGATTAGTTAGTACCCACTGATACAAGGTGTCAAGTTGTTTTACCAATGATCTAATCTTTCACTTAAGGTTTATCAAGTGTTTATTAAATTAATAATAACATTATTTTTGTAGTACCTGTATTAATATCTGGAAATGATAGCCACATCAGTAAAAATTTAAGCATTTTTACTGATAGTGGCTATCATTTTACTCTGCTTTACATCTTTCAAAGAAAATTTAGCACTATTCTAATATAATTTTGGCCATCACTACTTATAATTTCTCATGACTGGTGGGAACAGTGCAAACAGGAGTAAGTTGCTCCCCAGTGACCTCATTGTAGTGATATAATCACTGAATGTCATGGACATGATTCAACAGCAGATACACTCATGGGGAGGAAAAACAAGGAGGATAAATAAAGGACTCTTTGATGATGCATAGGATCAGAATTAGTTACCCAAACCCAGGATGAATCTAAACGTGCTCATCTTCAGGTACATTCCAAAATATATGCACATCATATCTGTAAGCTTTTTGTCTTGTTGTTCTGTAGTTTATTAAGTAAAGAGATCTTTAAAATAAAGTGATATATTACAGAGTGAAAGTTTATCAGAAGTCATACTGTCCTTAATTCCAACCCCCACATTCTTGATTGAATCAATAGGGAAATTATTGCAGAGAGAGAAGGGAAATAATAATGGTACTTATTTCCCTCATGGACAGACACTTGGGAATAGAGAAGAGAGAAGATGCTAAGTGGGTGAAGGAGGAACATGTTAGTCCATGATAAGAAAGAATTAGATTTTTTTCTATTAAATTTTCCATCTTTGTTTAAAGTTTTTTTTTTTAATTGTTTTTAGTTGTAGATGAACATGATACCCTTATTTTTTTATTTTTATGTGGTGCTGAGGATCGAACCCAATGCCTCACACATGCAAGACGAGCACTCTACCATTGAGCTACAATTTGAGCCCCAAATTTGCCATCTTAACCATTTTCAAGTGTACATTTCAATGATACTAAATATACTCATAATTCATAATTTTTGCAAGCATCACCACCATCCAACTCCATAACTCTTTTCATCTTACAAAACTGAAACTCTAAATCCTTTAAAAAGTAGCTCCTTATACCTCCCTCTTCCTAGCTCCTGGTAACCACCATTGTACTTTGTATCTCTATGAATTTGTCAACTCTAGGTAACTCATATAAATGGAATCATACAGCATTTCTTTTCGTGACCAGTTTATTTCATTTAGCACAATGTCCTTGAGGTTCATCTTTGTTGTAGCATTTTGACAGGATTTATTTCCCTTTTAAGGCAAATAATACTTCCTTGTATATCTATACCATATTTCTGAGTCTTTTTGATAGTTAGTAGCTGTCCTAATTAATGGGTGTGAGTGGAAGAACTGGATTTCTATGTCATTATCTAAGGGTTGTGATCTACTGGTACAGGAACACCATGTTTAATGTCTAACATTCACACACATAATTTGAGAAATCCAAATCCAAGTAGAGACATAAATGTGATTGCCTTCTTTATGAAGAAATTAAGTATCAGTTAAACTTTTAATTTTATTTTTTATGCTTAGACAACAGCATGATGTGTGTCAGATTGCACTAAATTCCACTTTATTAGAAAGTAGAAGCTGGAAGAAAGAGACAGGGATCCAGAACGTGTAGACATTTTCTCATTCTTTACGATGGCAAGTTCTACAACTTCACTGGACCTCATTCTTGATGAAATAGATGGACTGTGATTGCACAGGTTTATTCTGGTTCTTGTGCTGTGGAATTTTCTCTGTTGTTAAGTCAGTACTCCTCGAATAAGCATAGAAACAAGGTAAACTTAACCTAACTTAAAAAAAACTACAAAGGAAACAGAACAGTTTTATTACTTGAAATCAATTAGTGGCTTCCAATTTTTCTACAGTTTGTCAAAGAAATGGTAAAGTGAAAGTCAGGTTTTTGTTCTACTCCTGCTACTAATTTATTATGTGACAGAATATCACAACTTCTCTGAAACTTTTTTCTTAAAGTCTTGGATTAAACCATCTCTAAAGTACCCGTCATCTCTGAAATTCTAGAATTCTTTGATTGCAGCTATAACCTTATGAAAAAAAGACAGCTTTTATGTGTATTTCCCTTATTATGTCATTCATCAGTTACCTGAACCTGCTTCTTTGATGCCTGTGTAATACTCTCATTGTTCACATGATAGGAATGTTAGAAAGTCCAGTCTTGTGGACTACATAAATGTCAGTATTACTGTAATTATAAAGAAACTTGTGGAAACCATTCTGTCTCAGGGCACTCTCATTTTCATTAACTTTTTTTTTTTTAATCTGAGACGATCTTTAAATAGATACAGCAACTGCATTCAACTTAACTAGAGTAGAATATGCTTCCTTTTCTATGTCCTCAGCTAAGGCAAGTAGGCACTACTGACACATTCTCTCCCATTACTCTGTCAAATGGCATTTTGAGAATTTGCCCAACCTATGTGATGAATGTTGCCTATCCCTGGTGAGACCCCCAACAACTGGGTAGTGTCAGCCTAAATTAAGCTGTCATTTGTTCTTTTGGAATTGCCCTTTCTCTGTGTTTAGTACTTTCTTACCCAACTACTTTCACAACAAGAGGGTGAATACACTGGCAGAAAAACAAATGGAATGCAGAAAACAGGCTGAAACTGTATCAGTCAAGTATTGCTCAAGTTCTTTTTGTTTT